GACTAAACTTCCCACCACACCTAGTGCCATATAACCCACATGGGCCCTTAGAGATTTTTCAGAAATTGCAATATGGGCCTAGAGCCCATCTCAGATTTCAGCAGGCATTACCCCTTTCCATTACTGCAACATAACGAAAATACAGCAGTCCAAAGAGAAGGAGAAAAGGGGAAGCGAGTCCAACGCATCACCGGGAAACCCACTGTGAGAACTCGCCATCGAGATTACTCACTGCGGGGCGAAAACCCGACGACACCTAATCACAGTAGCTAGCATCCAAGGCCTAAAGCCCCAAAAAAACACAAGACATAAAGCTTGCACACAGCATAGCAACATAGTTCAAGCCCACGTAAGGGGGGGAAGTAACTCAAGCAACTATTTGAACCATGGAGCAGCATCTCCAGCAGATCAGCATGCCGCCTCATCTTGGTTCGCCGCACAGATTCTCATCATCATCGACGCTTCATCTTGCCTCAGCAGTCCTGCCCAGTAACACATTAAGGCACACGCAGAAAAAAATACATTCAAACGGGTTTGTAAGCGGTTTGAATTCAAAGGTAGCTCTATTACGACAAGACCATATCGCCCAGCATACAACAGCAATCCCTGCTGTATAAAAATTTTCCCCACCAGGGAAGAACGTATAGCACCATGCATAAGCTTGCCAAATGTTATCGGGACACAGGGCAGTACCAAACATGCATGCCACCGTCCTTCAGGTCACCCTGGCAACAGGGCATGTAAAGAATAAGTGTTGAGCAGTCTCTCGCCCACCACAAAAAGAACATTTAGGATTTCCCTTCCACCCTCGATGCTTCATCACATCTCTCGTTAGGACAGCATCTTGAAACAGCTGCCACAAAAATATTTGAATCTTAAGAGGTATTCTGGCATTCTAGATCCATCTATAATCGCATCCAGCAATGTTCCTTTCCAGGAAAGAGTAAACTGATTTAGTAGTAAAAGATGATTTCCCTCCCATGCCCCATCTAATCACATCGGAGGCCTCTGAGACACAAGCCTTTCTAGCCATTTTACTCACATTCACCCATTGAGCACTGAGCTCACAGTTCAATCTCCTTCTAAAGAAAGAGGAGGGATCAGCATTTAGGCACTGGGCCACTGTGCACTCAGGAAAGTTACAGATGGAGAATAAACGAGGAAATTGTTCCGCCGGAGGGGTGTTGTTCCCAATGGGGTCAATCCACAGCCCAGCAACCACTCTTCTCCCTGCCATATATAGATGTTTCACCTTCATAATGGCCTTCCAGCACGAAGAATCATTGCTTTTCATTTTAATACTAGCCACTGTGGCCCTATTAAAATAGTTCGCTTTCACAATATCTTGCCACAGGCCGGATTTAGTTTCTAGTTTCCACCACCATTTAGTAAGTAAACTGAGGTTCTGTTTGTGTAAATATTTTACACCCAGCCCTCCTTTTTTCTTAGATCTGCATATTCTAGTCCACTTGACAAGATAATATCGTTTTTTATTCTGGGTCACGTGCCAGAAAAATCTCCTTCTACACTTGTCAATCCTAGCAAGTATAGTTTTGGATAAAAGAAACATGGCCATATAATAAAATGCAATGCTAGAGATGTTAGCATTTAGTAATGTCAGGCGTCCTCCGGAGGAGGCATTTCCCCCCAATCCAGAGTCACATTTTTGGATGTATCTGGATTCCAGAAAATCCCAGTCAGCAGCTTGCAAGGAGGAAAAGGTCACTGGCACTCCCAGATATTTCATGGGAAAGTGCCCTATTTGGTAATCAAACATATCAGCATATG